CGGAACGCCATTGCAGCCTTGGATATCCTGGCACAGAAAAGGCATGAAATAAGCCAGGTAGTGGGGAATGAGGCCTTGTGTACTGCCTTGCTCAGACCATTGAGCATGGTGCTTAACTCACAGTCACACAGAGACATGGAATACTTAGGGAAATATTCTCTCAGCTCTGGAATCACAAGATGAAATCTGGGAAGTCTGGGAGCTGCTGGGCTGACTCCAGGCTACATGTGCTCCAGGCTACTTCTACCTTCCATTATGTTCCATTGCTATAGTTACTATGGCAGAGGTCTGACGGTATTTTGTACTCATTCTTTCTCCATCGTCCAATTCACAGTTCACAGGATAGGTAGTCACATCAGAAAATGAACACGCACATACACACACACACACACACACACACACACACACAGGAGAGAGAGAGAGACAGAGAGAGAGACAGAGACAGAGAGACAGAGAGACAGAGAGACAGAGAGACTATTAGAGCCCTGGACCCTGAGGCGGAGAGGAAGAGCCTGCAGACTTAGAACTGAGAGAATAATATTTGGCAATCCCAGAGAAGTGTAATATCCTTGAGTTCACTGGAGCACTTATCATCCTGGCTATGACCACGAAGCCCTTCCATGTCATCTTTCATATTCAGATTGATACACAGTGTCAGCTGTCACTTAACCTGTGCTGAGGCTCTATGTCTTGAATGTGGTGATGAAAACATTTGCCCTGGCAGATCTTGTACTTTGGCTCTCAGTGGTCCTTATGTGGGTCCACAGGGTTAGGCTTCAGTACGATCTGATCCTCTTTGACACGCCTACTTCTGATGACAGCATATCTATCTGCTACAGGTTCCAAGTGTATTTACTGTCACTTAGACAAAGGTGTTGCCTTTCTGTGAAGAGGACTTGATGTTTACATGGATGAGAAAGAATGCCTTCATAACCTAACAATGGTAGTCAGGGATGGCTGAATAGGGCTGTGCATTCAGAGGTGGGGCTCCATGCCACTGATTGCCTAACTATACTTGCCTTGGTGGGGTGGGTATTCTGAAAAAAAAAAAAACATGCTTCCCTTGAATGTCCAGGAGGATTTTGAGGTTTAAATGGGAGCAGAGATTTCCCACATTCCACTGAGGAAAATTTGGAAATATCCCTTCACCCTTCCATATCCAGAACCTAAAAAATCCAGCATGGGTGACTAATTAAGAAGCAATAATTTTTTATAGTAATGTTCATATAATGCCTCAAATACATTCTGAGAAATGAGTTCCCAGGCAATTTAATCATCATGTGGACATTATAGAATACCCATGGTATAGCTTACTGCTCACCTTTAGGCTTGGTGGTATATACCCCATTGACAAACATGCTATGTGGAATGCTACAGTAATTCGTGACCCAGTCTCTAATCATCCCAACTGCATCAGATTTTAATTGTGACTCTAAATTTCATATATAAACTCAATCCCAGTAGTTTATATTTATTATTTATATAAGACATAGTAAAAAAAAAAATATGTGCATGGTGGCACGTGCCTGTAAGTCCCAGCATTAAGAAGGCAGACACAGGTACATTACCACTAATTTGAGGCAATCCTGGTCTATGTAGCAAGTTACAGGCCAGAGAAGGATACATAATGAATCTTGTCCCAAACAAACAAACAAACAAACAGAATAAAAGAATCATATATGTGTGTAATATAAATAGAAACAATACAAATAAACTATAGTCTCAATTGTTATGCTGGCTAATTTTATGTCAAGTTGACACAGGCTAAACTTACTTTGAATGAGGAAAGCGTGACTGACAAAGTGCCCCTATCATATTGGCCTATGGTGCATTTTCTTTCTTTTATCAACAAAATAAACTATAATAAGATAAAACAAAACTTCGCATTGAAGTTGGACAAGGCAAACCAACACAAAGAAAAGAGCCCAAGAGAAGGAACAAGAATTGGAGACCAAATCATTCACTCTCAAAAGTCCAATAAAAGTACTACACTAAAAGCTCTCATGTATGCCCAGGGACCTGGTGCAGGCTCTGTGCATGCTGCCTCAGTCTCTGGGAGTTTATAAGAGTTTTGCTTAGTTGATTAGGAGGGCCTCATTCTCCTGGAGTCCTCCATCACCTCTGGCTCTTACACTGTTTCACCCTTCTCTTCCCTGCAGTTCCCTGGGCTCTGAGGGTAGGGATTTAAAATGATGGAGACATCCCGCTTAGAGTTGAGTAAGAGGAGCAAGGAATTGCTAAAGGCAGCTTGATTGGACTATTTTCAGTAATACAGAAGTCAGAAGTTCCATGCTGTCAAAGGCTCTGGGAGTACCAGCCTAGTGCTGGGATTGCCATTCAGTTAAGGTAACCTAATTTGGAGCAAAACGCATCTGTGCCCCCCCAGCATATGCTTAATGTATCCAACACCACCCATACTACATAAGCTCTGGAATGTCTAGTAGCACATGACCTGAGCTGTGTTCCATCAGTGGCACTTCTGGTTTCAGGATGACTTTGTGGTACACTGCAATTTTTTTTGTTATATACATGAAAACAATGATGCCATACTCACTTCAAAAATATTAAGTGTTCATCTCCTGAGCATCACAGAATATAATCAGGTGTGTGTCAGGGTTGAATTCACATGCCCATTCTCTTCTGCAGTTGATTGGAAGATGGTACTAGGGAGATGAAAACAGTGCAAATCAGAAGACCGAAAGCTAATACAAAAATCTATCTTACGGGGTAAGTTCTTAGGCATTGTCGAAGAAATCAAAAGGCTTGGGGATGTGCTTTCTAGGGGGAGTAAACAGTAGTTACTGATGCACAGGCTTTCTGAAACATAAGTAAAAGGATGTCAAACCCTGCAGTTAACTCGACGAACTCTGACGATTGATCTCCCTGTCCTGTGCCATTGGTGTTACCCCCTCTTTCAGTTAAGAAAGCTGGGAATTCAGCATTTCATTCAGGGTCCCAAGATATACAGAGCTGAGGCTTGGGGATTTAGCCTCCCCTTCTCACTTCACAACACACTGCCTATCCCATTTTCTTTCTATTTTTTCCTTTTCTTTTTTTTTTTAAATTTTTTTAGGGGGTGGGGGAGTGCTGTCTGTAGAGTGTTCCCCCTTCCCCCATGTAGGGTGAAGTAAAAGCTGAGAAATTGCAATCTTCACAGTCCCTTTGGAAGACTAGGCTTTATGATTTAAGGCCCCAGTGGCCTGCAGGTTCCTGAGAGGCGTGTGTATATGTGTGTGTGGGGGGGGGTTTCATATCGGGATAGCTTGCTCCTCTGCTGGCATGAGGCATTGCCGATAAATGTTATCCTCTCAGACTGCCTTCCCCCAGGGAGTTTCTGAGAGTTTTTTTTAATGGGGCCACATGCAGTTTTGGGTAGCCATCTAACATGCATCCACTTCAAGAAATGGCTCATGTACTAGGACACTGATACCTTCGAGGGAAGCCCATGATGACCCGGAGAACCACACTAATGCTACTCATCAGCTGTTCTAAGGCACCAAACCTTAACCCCAAGCATTTCACCTTGACCAGCAGCCCCCTTCCTCCATAACTGCCTGTCCCCAGATGCTTTGCAGTGCTGAGGACAGAATCCAGATTGTGCTACTGGACTTATGCTGCTGCTTTCCTTGCCTACTGCTTTCCTCCTTCTCTGCAGTTAGACTCCAGACGTCTCCTGGAAAGTACATGGCAGTATCGAAAGGGAAAAGCTGTCCTCTGAGGCCCACGTACAAATGTCAGGAGCCTTTCCATGGCTCAGCATCACTGGAAAGACATTAGCTTCCTCCATTGGAAGGCTGCAGACTCAAGGTCTCTGTCTCTTTATCTACACTATAAAACCCATAGACAGCCAAGTAATCGTTTTATAACTACATAAAAGACATTATAAGGCACATTATTTTCAGAAAAAAATGACATCCTCAGTGATAAGAACTGAACCAAATATTTCACATGGGATATAATAGAGTTTAACTATGAAAATCTGGGGTAACTATATTTTCTTATGCAGATTATTTAATTTTTGGAGGGGGTAACGGTGTGTGTCTTTTTTGTTGTTGTTGCTTGGTTTTTTTGTTTTTGATTTTTGTGTGTGTGTGGTTTTTTTGGGGGGGAGGGTTGGTTGGTTGGTTGGCTTTTAGTTTTCTGAAGCAGAATTTCTCTGTGTAGCCTGGCTGTCCTGAAACTAGATCTATAGAGCAGGCTGGCCTCGAACTCACAGGGATCTGCCTGCCTCTGTCTTCCGAGTGTTGTGATTAAAGGCATACACCACCACTTCCCTGCTGTTTGTTTTTTTGACAGTGTCATTAGCTAGACAAGACCCAGTCTCAAGATCTTGGTTTTACTAGCTAGCACTCGGTGTACTAATAAGGACTCTTGAACTAAGAACTAAGAACCACTAAGCTGACCATGTCCACTCAATTTTCAGTCCATGCTCTGATGGTAGGTGGAGGGTGAGGCCAAAAGAAATTTCTAAATGTTCACGCAAGAATCCTGTGGTCAGTGTATGTTCTTACCTTTCTCCCATACTATTTTTATTTCCAAATAATTTTGCAATTGCACAGAGTCTACCTGTAGTGGTAATCTCTGTAATCTACAAGGAATAGGCAGCCTGTACATGTGTTGGTGTCTGTCTGTGGGCACAGGTTCAAGCCCTCACATACTACTTCCCCCTCACAACCCCTCCCTAGGTCCCCCATGTTCTTGGTCACACCCCGCCACTTCTGTGACTAAACAAATACCATCTATTGCACAAGTGGGCCGAAAGCCACTGGCAGTCAATTACTGAGGAAAGAGCCAGTAGCGTTCATCTAGAGGGGAGTGTGAGGACGGACCATGAGACACATGGGGAACTTGTGGAGCATGCGCACAAGTTCTCCATTGTCGTCATCTCTCACCCAGGCCGTTGCTTTCGACTTCCGTCTGGACCGGTAAGAGACGCCCGGCTTCAAGGTCGTTCGTCCTAGGACCGCAAAGCTGTTGGTGGCTTCGACCTGGTTCTAGTCATGGCCCACAGGATCTCTTTTGACCACAACTATTACACAGCAGCTTCTGAGGAGGAAAAAAATGCTGGAGCCCAGGCCGGGGCTGAGGCCTCTACCTCAACCTCAACCAAGGAGGCCTCAGGAGCTGTAGCGGTGGCTCAGGCAGAGGCGGCGGGCAACGGCCATGGCAGTCGAGGAGCCATAGGCTGTGCCACCACCACCCTGAGTGAGCCAAATGTCGAGAGTGACCTGAGACAGGAGAGTGAGAGTGATCCGGAGGACAGTGACTACTACTACGACGAAGACGACTTGAGCCTCAGCGACCAGGATACCTCAGACGCCGAGCAGGAGGAAGCAGCTCCCTCGGGGGCCGCTGCTGGTGCTCCTCCGACTGCTACTGCTGCTGCTGCAATTCAGATTCCGGGGCCCCACCGTTCCCGCCCCCGCAGGCGGAGGCGGCGTGGAACCCCATTCAACTTCGCACAGTGGCAGGTCGAGGAAATGGAAAACGTGTTTGAAGAGACCCAGTATCCGGATGTGCTTACAAGGTATGTGGCTTGCACGAGGAGCTCCCACAAACCTTCATGAGCTTTGGCTTATGTTGAGGTGTCCTTCAGCTCTTCCAGGCCCTGTTTTCCCAATGGCCGTCCGGTGCCTTCTCCCCCAGAAGCACCCCGGAAGGGTGACTTGGGTGGACATCAGGGGCAGTATCGGCTAGTATGCAGTGCTGGTGTGAGTCAAGTGTTCCTCCTGGTCGGCGCCACTCCTTTCCAGTTATATTTCAGTTATATTTCTGTAAAACTAGAGAGAGACATGAATATAACATGCCAAAACATTTTAATAGCTCAAAGTTCACCAGCGTTAACTACGGGCTTCTTGTTGGATGATCCCTCACCAGTAGTCTCGTCACCTTTTCAGGGACTGTGTATCCATCCATCAACTCCTTTCTGTTTCCCTTTCCTCTCCCCCAGTGCTTTGCACCTTGCTATGTTCTCTTTCTTTGAATTTAAGCCCCCAAAGTAACTGAAATTATGCTACCTTTAGCCTAAGACTGATATATTTTTTTGTAGAATTCACTTCCTTTTAAAAGTTGGACATTATTCCATGATGTTTTGTTTTAAGGCTATGTATGTGCATTTCTAAATACATAACATAAATACAAGCTGCTCAGTCTATATTAATGTTTATATAAATATATATATATGCTATAATGTTATAAATATATGTTATACATATAAATATATGTGTTATTAATATATATACATATATACATACATACACACACACACACATATATGTATATATATATGTTTTCAAGGCTGTGCTCCTCCCAGGGGAAGATTATTTCTCCCTTCCTTAGCATTTCTTGTCTGTAATTCTTCTTCTAAGGTTAAGGCCTCAGGAGCAGGCCTCATTCACATCAGCGTGTCTGTTGTTGCTGTTGTTGTTGTTGTTGTCCTTGTTCAGCTCATGTTCCGGCAGTCATGTTGCTGATATTTTGTGGATGTTGTTTCAAACACAGTCTCACAGCAAACTCCCTGGTCCTCTGGCTCTTAGAATCTCTCCTCCTCCTCTTCTGTGATGTTTCCCGAGCGTTAGGTGTGAGACTTGTTTTGTAAAATCTATCCATTGGGACTGGGCTCCACAACTGTGCATTTTGCTTTATTGGTTGTTGCTAGTTGTGGTTTTCTGTTATGGTCTCCATCTGTTGGAAACAGAAGTTTCCTTGAAGAGGGGTGAGGACTAACTTATCTCTAGGTATACAGAGAAGTATTTAGAATGAAGTTAGGGAAGCTAGCCCTCATGCAGGAGGTTTCAGGTCCATTATTGCTCCAGGGCCTGTGGGCTGCACATCAGAAGTGCATGATGTCTTTGGCAATAGGGACTTACCTGCCACCTCTGGGGGGCAACCAAATATAAACTACGCTATATTTTTGCAACCTTGACCAACAACTCAAAAGAGGGCTTCTCTTCCTTGATGTTAGGGGTTTTGTTCCACGGTCTTTGGCTCTTAGAAGGAGCACAGTCATCTCAGATAGGACATTTTTATTTAAACTAAATATGTATTTATACAGTGACTTAAGTGTATTATAGGTACTTTTGGGTAGATAGTAACTAGTTTGATTCCTTATGACTTTTTCAGACATTCTTTCTGTTATTTTATCCTCCCACCCTCATCTTTTGTATTTGTCTCCTTTCTTTCTCCCAGATTAGACCCCAGCCTCTTTCCCATTCCCCTCTTCAGATCACTTGTCCCTTGCTATTCCCTTCTCAGTTTCTCCTACAGCCCTACCAGCCACTATCCAACTTTACTTTCCTGGTTTCCGAAGTTCCTCCAGGTTATCCCATTCATACTTTTGATTTCATCCTTTGATGCTCAGAACTTTTTACACTATTGTAGTTCTGTCTGGGTTTTGTTGTTGTTGTTTGGTTGGCTGGTTGGTTTCCTCTGTGCTGTATTTTTGCTTTAGAAATTCAATCATACTGGCATCGATATTGGATGTATGAAGTGCTGTTGTTCAGCTGCAGTGATAGAACGTTTTTTGTTTTGAAATTAGTAACATTTGCTCAGCATAGAGTTCTGTGTTTATTTTTATTGTTTTGATAGTATGTTAAAATTATTCATCCCAGGTAGCGGTTACAAACTTTCGTAATAAGGTGAGACCATTTCAAAGTAAGGCTGGCTCTGAGAATGAAGAACTAAATGTTAGAGTAGTTTTAAGAGAAAGTGGTGGATATTTAAAAAAAAAAAACAACAGAAATCATATATGCAGTTGTGTTTCATATAAAGCACCGAATGCTATATATTTGTGGTTTTCTTTCCACAGGGGAGAGCTTGCAAGAACTTTGAATGTGCCTGAAGCCAAAGTGAAGGTCAGTAAATCAAAGGAAAAAAGTGCATCTATAGCCCCCCTTGGGATTTAGATAGCCTTGTCCTAGACACTTTTAAATTAATAGGTTTCATTTTATTTTTATGTTGGCAAACAAGGTGTTTTATTTATTTTTTTAGTATGTGGATGTGCACATAAGTGTACCTGTACATATATGTGCATTCATGCATGTGCGTACATAAGCACACCGTCATGCATGGTATACTTGTGGAGGTCAGTGACCAACCTCAGATATCTGTCATCATTTCCTACCTTATTTAAATGCAGGTCCGTTTGTTGTTAATCACTGCACAAGCCAGATTAGCCGGTGTATACATTTTCAGGGATCTTTGTTTCCATTTCTCAGTCATTGTAGGAATGCTTCCACGTCCAGCTTTACATGGGTTCTGTGAGATTTGGACTTAGTCCATGAGCTTGTCTTGAAAGTACCTTAACCCTTAATTCACGTCTCTAAACCTCAAACAAGTTTTAAATTTTGCATTTTCAGGTTGCAAAGGAATGTAGGTGTTCTAGCTTGTAGTTCTTTCCCATTACTGCAGAAAATCTGATAAGTAACCAGATAAAAGAAAAAAAACTCTTTTATACTGTGAGCATGCACATATAACATATAATACATATTATGTCTAGGTATGAGCATGTGCACAAATATCTGATAATTAACATTCATGTCCTTTTTTTCTTGGCTGCGATTTACTGAAACTACCTAGAGTCATTTTAGGTGTGATATGACCTTGGAAATATTTAAATTAATTCAAGGGGTGGCAGTGGCAGTGAAATTTGGAGCAGAGACTTGGCGGACTTAAGCAGAATTCATTGCTATTTTAACATTGTTTCTTTCTTTTAAGTTTATAGGAATTTGTGTGTTTTTTCAAGGTCTCAGGTAACTCAGGTAGGTCTTAAATTTCACTGAGTGTCTAAGGATGACCTTGAACTAACAGTTCTTTTGCTTCTACCTTCTGAGTGCTGAGTTTATTGAGGTGTAATACACACCATGCAGCATCTCTACATAAATGGGATATCATCTTTAAGTAGGCAAACTTCCTAGCATTTATTGTTCATTGTGATGCAATTCTTGTGTCTCAGCTAGCCAGAGACTTAGACCCTTTGCCCTTCATTCCTAAGTTGTCCCCATTTATCTATTCTGTGTCCAGAACATCAGGGTTAAAAGTGCTAAATTCATAGGAAAAAAAACAAACAACAACAAAACAGACATCTGTATCTAACTGATTGGTGAAGCTGGAAGGAGACCTGAGAGTCTTCATGGCTAACCCTTTTGTCATATTTGAGCAAGGGGATAATAGAGAGTGACATCCCTTAATTTGGATTTTCTGGCATTCTGTGTTGTATCCAACCTGCCAAAATAGTTGTATTAGTGTCGAGAGGCCTGGAAAAACTGTCGAAAACTAAAAAAGATTAATATTAAACTAATTTCAGCTAACTTACTAAGGAGGAAAACTTCGTGGAGAATTACATGAAGTCAAAAAACAGGTTGTAAATTCCAATACCAAATGTGTGAGTCTTTTTATAACTGGAAAACTGGGAAGTTTCTTTATCATTTAAAGGGTATTACTTTGAAGATGGGAGTTTTGTTGAATTTGTGGAGGATGAGCTTCACTTCCAGACAGTCATACCTGTTTTATTCACAGTGATTTTCTGTCCTTGAGACAGCAAAGATTAACATATAGGCTGTGAACCCAAAGAAGCCAAATGCTTCATGGCAAAGCACAAAAGGCAAAGGAAACTTGGAGTGTCTTCGTTTTGGATCCTGTTCAGGTCTGTGCAGAACAGCATTCCCACATAGTAGGTCTCTGAGTGCTAGCATCCTAACACCATGAGTAGGATCAACAGTAGGACCAGGCTCAAGTGGGAGATACTGGGAGGAAGAAGAGAGGCTTTCCCAGGATGGAGAGACAGAGTGAGAGGAAAAGAAAACCTGAAGGTGTAGGGGGTTTTTCCCCTCTCCGAGCTCACAGGGCAGTGCACTGCAGCTCTAGAGAGACTGCAGCTCTGGAGAGAGCATGGCCACAGGACACGTGAGAGGAGGAATCACTCACGTGCTCCTGTTTGTACACTCTGCAGTGTGAACTTCCCAAAGCCTTCCAGCCTGATTTCCTTTTCTTCTGGCAAACATAATGGATGGGCTTTAAGAATCAAACATGGGGAACTCTGGCCTAATGTGAGCTCACATGAGTCAGCCACTGGGGCTTTGGTTGAGTTCATGGAGGCATCCTGATGGTAGGTTCAAGTCCCCATCATCAGGGCTTTGGTCCCCTGATCTTCTTTAGACTATACATCTCCATGACAGAGGGTTCCAGGCATGGAGAAAAAGTATGTGTAGTTACAAATGTGCAGTTTGAGAACTCCTTAATGTAACAAATACATGGAACCCCATTCACTAGGAGTCTGAATCTAACAGGTGACTGTGACTGTATCTCCGTAGCTAGCCAATATTTAGAAAGAGCTGATTTATGACCCCTTTCCCCAACACTGTTGTCTTTCATTCTTTGCAAATCTTTACTCTTTGCCTTTTGAAGAAGAATGGGCTTTGTATGTCCCAGTGATACAGCAAGGCCTAGTGTGCCCTCTGTACTCAGCAAGATTCTGGAGTATAGCTGAAGAATTTTTTTTTTTTGTTTTTTTTTTTTTTGTTTTGTTTTTTCGAGACAGGGTTTCTCTGTGTAGCCCTGGCTGTCCTGGAACTCACTCTGTAGACCAGGCTGGCCTCGAACTCAGAAATCCACCTGCCTCTGCCTCCCAAGTGCTGGGATTAAAGGCGTGCGCCACCACCGCCCGGCCTGAGAGAATTTTCTTTATCCTAGTCCTAGAGAATTTTGTATAACTTGAAAGTACATAGTGTTTGATTTGCCAGGGATGGAAGCCTACCCCTTTCTGCTGAACTCTTCAGGGTGGCAAAGGTTTCACCATCCTGTGTGTCATTTTGGTTAAGTTAGTCAACTTTCTCAAATAGTGGAGGCTGCAGTGTCAAAATGTTGTCCAGGCCACCTCTGCCTATCACTTGTTCCCTCGCCAGAAATTTGAAGCAACAACCATTGTCATTCTCAAAGGCTATTTTCTGTCTAATTATCCCCCATGTTTGATTCTGTTGATTAATTACTTCATACTGAAGATTGGTTTTACAAACTGAAGGCTGTACCCTTCCATATGACTTTTAAATGAACGAACATTTTGTGATCTAAAATATCTGCCCAAATAAGAGAAAACTCTCACTAGTTAGCAGGGTGTTATGCAGCTGATGGTCAAATATGAGAATGAAGACTTTCCTTTATCTGGTTAACACATAGTGAATTAGCATCAAGGACCTAGAACAAGTAGTGACCTAAGCTTCCCACCCAATAGAAGAGAAATTATTGGAGTGTTTAGATTAAACCATGGCCTATTGCAAAGGTTGGCACACAGCTGATCCTTGCTTTTGTGAACTGAGTAGAAAATTCAGTGTTAGGAGCCTTCAAACGATTGTTTTTTATCTCTTGGCTCTGGGGGTGGTAGCCAGTGCTAACCCCAATCCTGTCATCCTCTGATTTTAGGTGTGGTTTATCAATCGGAGAGCCAAACAGAGGAAGAATGAGAAACGTGCAATGCTGAGAAATATGCCACCTGGTGCTGAAGATTTCATTTTCATGACGGATGTGGAAGAGCCTTCGTAATGTGCCATCCTTGGTCAGTAAACAAAGGGCAACTTGGCAACCTATGTGCCCAATGCCAAGTTTAACTATTCAGCATGCATGTTAACAATAAAAGCATGAATTTCCAAATTATTTAATTTCATGTGCTTTCTGGGGGTTTTGAAAGACATGATGTATGAAATTCAGGATGTATACTTGTAGTGGGAGAATTTTTAAAAAGCGACAAGGCTCTGGCTAGCTCCCAGGCTGCCACCATGTTCCACTCTTAAGATCCTGTTCTGACCGTGGAGCCAGCTAACCAGGAGTGCCGGCCCAGATGGTGTGGCTGCTGCCTCCGCCGGTCAGCTCCATGGACCCCATGGCTCTAAGCATGGCCCTTGAGCCAACTCCAATGCTCTCATGGTTCTCAGCTCAGAGCAGACAATAACCACCATCCTCGCGGTACCTGGTAGAAATAACACTCTTAATGCTTAAAGATTATCCAATGGATCTATATATCAGCAAATACTCAATACAAAGTTGTCAACACAAATAGAATTGTGATCCCAACATCTAACCTTTTGATATGTATAACTACCCGAGACTGCTAGAGACATGAACGTCTGCTGCCATCTTTCCTCTCCTTCTCTTCCTTCTCTTCTTCCTCTTTCCTTACTCCTCCCAACTTCCAGCTCCACCTACCTCTTCTACTGCCCAATCACCAAACTCCACTGCAAATACAATGGGCAGAAAAATTTCTGCCACATATGCTATTTAAGCAGAATGACAAGTTCTCATTTTATGGGGTGATATTTCTAAGTCCCGAGCATTGCTTGCACAGAGTAGTAGTCTCTATGCATAAGTAGGTGTGAGACAGCAGGCCACTTAAGTCTTTTTGATTTAGCCTCACCCGATTCTTTGAGCTAGGGATTCAGTAGTCACCCTGTAAGCAGGGAATTAAAGAGAAGGTAAGCACAGAAAACTATTTATGATGATAGTTATTTTTTTATTGGTGGTGTATACCAATTATTTTTTCCATTTTAATTAAAATAGTTTTTTCTCACATAATATATCCTGATAGTGTTTTCCCTTCCTTCTGCTCCTCCCAGTCTTCCCCTTACCTTTTTTTCTCCCATTAGAAAACATACAGGTTGCCAGGTGGTGGTGGTGCATGCCTTTAATCACACCACTTAGGAGGCTGGTTCAGGCAGATTTCTGTGAGTTTGAGGACAACTTGGTCTACGAAATGAGTTCCGGGACAACCAGGGCTACACAGAGTAACTCTGTCTCAAAAAACAAAAGAAAGGAAGGGAGGGAGAGAGGGAGGGAGGGAGGGAGGGAGGGAGGGAGGGAGGGAGAAAGGGTGGGAAAGGAAGGCAGGCAGACAAGCTTCTAAGGGTAATAATAAAATGAAACACAATAAATATAACAAAAACTAACACATTGGAATTGGACACAATTCTGGGTCGCTCATTCACTATGACCATGAATAAGTGTTTTTTCAGTTGAATCTTTAGTATGCATTACAACTAAAGTTATGTTTATTTGAATATTATAAACATGAATTATTTACCTTTTTATAGCTATAGATCAACCTCTCTTGTCTGTGTTGACAATATTCTGCCCACAGACAGTTGTATAGTCTCTAAAGTCTCAAGTTAGAAGAAAAGTGGATCCTGCTGATTTGTCCATAAGCACAGGAGCAGGCCAGGCTCTAGGAATGAAGAGAGTTGTGATTGCACTGTGTATGTACTCAGGGTGATCTATACCTGTGACTCATTGATTTAAAGACTTGTCATCTACATTTTCCATGAATACATTTTAATAAGAAGAAGCTTTATTAAATACTGTAAGGAGATACTCATGGTACCAAGATTGCCACTGAGAGTGAGTGCTCCCAAGATGCCGCGTCTAGTCATATCAGTCCAAGGTTTATAAAGTGAAAATCACAGGATCACATGCACTCTGTCTACATGTAGGCAGGGTCTAAATTTAACATAAATATCTTGCAGTTGCCCTAATCATTGAGCAGAATCGGCAAGTTTGATTACAAAATCAGAAATAAAAATTAGTCTTCAGATCTAGTATTTTGCTAAACAGCAAATTTTATAAGATCAGTTAATAGTATTTAACATTTAGGGGTGGGGGATTTGAGTTGCTAGGATACAGTCTACACAAGATAAGGCTTTACACATTATAAGTGTTGGTTTGTTTTTGTTGTTTGATCTCAAGCATAGTAAATCGAAACTTTAAATGTAGTGTTAACTATCACATTCTCCCCTTGATTGTATCCTGTGTTAAATCTTTGATATTGTGGTGGCTATTATTTTTAAAGCCATATTTCTAAAGTCTCAACCTTTTGGTAGAGGGGAACTAGTTTACTTTGAACCTAATATTTCAACCTTTTGTTGAGTATTCTTTTCTGTAACTGCTTCTCAGCTGAAATTAGGACTTTGTTGTCCGTATACTCATGAAGTCTGAAATGCTAGCCAAATCCCAGTAGTTGGGGGTTCAGGCAGTGGAGGGAAATTTGTCAGAAGTATTTGGTTCACTGACCCAGCTGAAGAGACACCCATCACATCAGGTAGACTGGTTCACATCAGCTTTAGCAAGTCTAGGGCTCCAGCCATTTGGAGCAGTTTGCGTTCTGCAGCTGACTCCTGGATGATATCTGTCAGTCAAGTGGAAATCTGGTGAGACAGATATAGATTGCCAACAGAAGCTAAACCTTAGGAACTTAAAGGAAAAACTTTACATTTACAACCTACCCCTCAGGAGTAAGCAGTAAGCATAGAAGCTCAGGCTGTTGCTTGATAGCAGTATTTATATAGCGTCCATTTGACCTGTGACACATGGATTCAAGTTGTGTCTTTTTGTTCTTTATATGAATTTTTTAATTTACAAAAAAGATAAAATCTTTAGATATATTAGTTTATTGCTGTTTTTAATCTGTACAGAAATCCATATTGTAAAAAACGCAGTAGACTCGTGCCTTTGAGTCATAATAAAAACTTGAGAGTCCAAAAGATAATACTAAGTCAAAAACATGAGCATCTCTTTCCTGAGGGCTGGATAAATATATACATTGAACAGAAATGTTTATATCATAATAAAGGGCATCTTTAAGTCTCTATTTAAAAGACATCTAAAGGAAACTTTTACATTTTAAGCTTGTGACTGTGATAATGGTAGTCAGTGTTTTACCAGAGTTAGATTAAAAGCTTCTCAGAGTTTTACTGAATAATAGGTTAAAATTATGAATTTAAATGAACTTAAATTAAAATCATAAATTTTAATATATCTTCTTAGAACCTTATAAATTATATAAACCTCAAACATTTTATTAGTCATTGCAAAGGACAGGACTTTTTTGTAAACAAAGAAACAGTAAAATGTTACATTGAAATTTGTTTATTTTTTCAGCATGTCAGCAAAGTCTGTGAGTTTCTTTTTTACCAGGAGACCTAATAGCTCTAGAAAAAGCAAGGTCTGATTTTCATATATGAAATACACTGACCAGGCAGCTACTGTTAAACTGATAAAGCTACAGTTAGCCATCAACACCATCAGACATTTGAAAAGGATAAATTTGAACAGGGAGTATAAATCAAATGGCCTCTGTATCAATTAAAATGACAGACTTACTTGCTATCTGGATGGTTACCCTAGGCTCCTCCTTAACAATCTTAGTAATCTCCATGGATGGAGTGGCGTCAGTCTTCATCAGTCACACAGGGTGATGTTAACACTTTTCATTGCCTAATAGCGTGGCATTGGCCTTTGGCTGCCAGGCCCAGAAGATTCCTGAGGGTGAGAACTTGAGAGACTGTACTGCCTTGGCAAGGCAAAGAGGGACAGTCAGTTTTCTAGTGTCCAATTTATCCTCAGTTTAAGTGGGGTCCTAGTGGTGGGCAAAGTATGAGACATTCTTTCCCTGTGGTTACCATTATCCAGGAGGAGTCCCCTTCTTTAGAGAGATGTTTCGGCCCCCATCAGAACCTAGTATTTTTCTCTATCCTAGAAAGCTTCATTAAAAATTTTAAATGCCATATTCAATAGATCTCTGAAAAATTATCAGGACAATCTAATAATTATAATTGATTTTAAATAAATTTCATTTGTTTTTAGTTACTTGGTTTAAGTTTAACCTTGAAAACATATATAGAAAGCCAAAAAACTATTATCCTTATAAATGATCTATATTTGTACTTAGCATGACTACATTATAGCTCTAAACATATTAAAAAATAATCCTTTTTAAGCTCTAAGCAGGAAGTAACCTAGGCTAATTTTTTTAACAATTTAAATGTAATTTTCAGGCCTAGCCCTTTATTTGAAGTGAAAACTTGAATTGGCAAAATTACAAGGAGAATTTCTACATACCTAAAATGACAGCATCTCTAGTTTGCTAAATGAATACTTAATGAATTTGAGGACATTTAAGGAGAAATATTTTGGTTTAATCTATGACATTTGAAATACAGTTGATACCCAGAAGACCTTTTATGCAATTTCTTTTTTCAAAAGAACAATGAGTTACTAGTCATAGTAAACAAAACCACATTTATATTATCTTACTTGAGGTACAAAATATTTAAAAGCTTTTATGTCTATCTTTAATTATTTTACTATAGTAGTCCTTAACTGATAGTTCCAAATTTTTGACCACTCAGTTATTTTATCAAAGAAGATCATAAAGGTAAAAGAGAGAATTGTCTATATTTTTTTTATTTATATAGTCTTTTAGTTTTTCATAAATATATGTAGGGTATAGCTTTAATATCCTATTCATTATACATATTTGTTTTAAATCTTATCTTATAAATCTTGCTTGTATGATGTTTTCTTTATTTTTATTTGTAGAACTAAAATTATAAGAATTTATTTTAATCCAAAATTGAATACCTGTTGTCTTTCTTTAGTTGGTTTATATCATGTGGTTATCTTAACCAAGATAGTAGTGAAGTTAAATGGCTGTTATTTAAAAAGCATCTATTTTTTCAACAAGAGTTGAATCCAAGTTTTATAGATAGATAGATAGA